CTGGATCAGGGCTAACCTACTTGAGAAGATGCGAAAGCAAGGCAAGTCAACTTAAAAGGCATGGAAAGCGCATAGGAAAACCAACCAGGAAAACCAAAAATACGAAGCCAATAACACGAAAATCACATTGGGGCCTAGAGCCAGTTTTTATCAACAAGGCTCACAAAGACAAAGAACCAAGGGTAACCCATTTAAAAAGGATCGAAAGCTCATAAGGCACAAAGAGCACAGAAGAGACGGAAACAAAGCAAATCAACTTAAGATGAGAACTTTTTGACACCAAGGCCCACAAGAAGACACAAACAGCACAGAATGGACACAACCAAGGCAAACCCTTTTGAAAAGAATGGAAAGCACCTGGGAAAATTGACACGGCAACCCCAAAAGTATGAAACTACGCTTTTGGGCAGACAACGCACTGGATCAAGGCTAATCTAATTACTTGAGAAGAGGCGAAAACAAGGCAAGCCAACTTAAGAGACATGGAAATCACATAGGAAAACCAACCAGGAAAACCAAAAATACGAAGCCAACAACACGAAAATCACATTGGGGCCTAGAGCAGCCAGTTTGTGTCGCAACGAGGCTCACAAAGACAAAGAACCAACAGTCTAAAATCACATTGAGGCTTAAAACCAGTTTTTCAGCAACAAGGCTCGCAAAGACAAAGAACCAAGAGTAACCCAAAAAGGACGGAAAACGCCTGACGCACAAAGAGCACAGAAGAGAGGGAAACAAAGCAAGCCATTCGGGAACTGGGCCATTTAGAAGAACCGCACCCGCTCGCTTCTCGCTTTCCGTTGCTTGCCGGACTGGTTTGCAGACCGTGTTCTGTTGTTTGGCATGTTGGAAGGTGCATAAACACTGTAATTTCACGGTAAAAAGTGGCTTTGGGTGGGCTTGTGTTGAGCCTATTTGCCTTCAAAAAGTGAGATTTTACCTGCGCGGGAGGCAGTTTTTGTTTTGTTTTTTGCCGGCATTCAAAGGCTTTGAGGGGCAATGTGCATAAAACACTGTAAACACAATGAGAAAATGAGGGTCCGACAAGTGTAAAGAAGGTGTCTTTGAGATTTTGTTGCTTTTTGTTTGCTTATGAAAGCCTGCTCCAGTGGGTGGTCAAATATAGGGCATGTTTGTGCAATTCTTTGGTGATCTTGGTGCATTCCCGGGGCATGTCCTTTTCCATATTGGCACGTTTCGCCCAATTTTGGGGCTCTCTTGAGGCTTCTCGTGGAGGTATGTTGGAAGTGATTGCGGCCGTGGGGTCTAGATCAGGGCTATGTTGAAGGCGTTGCTGCTGTTATCTTACTTTGCGGCCATGTTGGTCCACTTGGCTGCTTTTTGTGTGCCGTTTAATTTGGGCAGGTGGTCTTTTGCGTAGTGTGCGTAAAACACCGTAAAAAATGTGGTCCAACAAGTGTAAGAAAGGTGGTTTTGAGAGCTTGTTTGTCGTTTTTGTTACTTGTTGCTTACGAAAGCTTGCTCCAATGGGCGGTCAAATTTGGGGCAACTCTTCGGCGATCTTGGTGCATTCTTAGGGCATATCTTTCTCGATGTTGGCACATTTCACCCTTTCACCCAAGGTTGGGGCTCTCTTGAGGCTTCTCGTAGGTATGTTGGAAGTGATTGGGGCCGTGGGGTCTAGACCAGGGCTATGTTGAAGGCTTTGCTGCTGTTACGTTACTTGTTTTGCAGCCATGTTGGTCCACTTGGCTGCTTTTTCTCTGCTGTTTGACTTGGGCAGGTGGTCTTTTGCGTAGTGTACGTAAAACATCGTAAAAACCATGACAGGCTTAGGTCCGACAAGTGTAAGGTTACTTGTTTTGAGGCCATGGTGGTGTTTTGGTGCCAGTCTGCGGATATCCTGGGGCATCTCCTTTATCAACTTGGCAAATTTCACCCATTGTCCATTGTTCATAATAAGGCATGTTGTGGGGTCTAGGTTGGCGTGTGTCCCGTTCTGCGGCGTTGTGGTCAGGGCAAGAACTTGTGTACAATTCGTGGTGAAGTTAAAGTTTTTTTGGGCATGTGTACCCTGCATAAGTCCCTGCATAGTTTTTTGGGCATGTTCGAAGGAGCATAAGACACAGTAATTTACAGTACAAAGTGGCTTTGGGTGGGTTTGTGTCGAGTTTATTTGCCTTCGAACAGTTGCACTTTACCTGCACAGGAGGCCATTTTTGAGGTTTTTCTTGCTTTCTGGCATTCAAAGGCTTTGAAAGGCAATGTGCATAAACCACTGTTAAAACTTAAAACCATGAGAAAATGAAGTCCGACAAGTGTAAGGAAGGAAGGAAGGAAGGTGTCTTTGAAATTTTGTTGTTTTTTGTTTGCTTATGAAAGCTTGCTCCAGTGGGTGGTCAAATTTAGGGCATGTTCGTGCCAATCTTCGGCGATCTTGGTGCATTCCTGGGGCATATACTTTTATATATTGGCACGTTTCACCCAATGTTGGGGCTCTCTTGAGGCTTCTCGTCAAGGTATGTTGGAAGTGATTGCGGCCGTGGGGTCTAGATCAGGGCTATGTTGAAGGCGTTGCTGCTGTTATCTTACTTGTTTTGCGGCCATTTTGGTGCACTTGGCGGCTTTTTCTCTGCCGTTTGACTTGGGCATGTGGTGTTTTGTGTAGTGTGCGTCAAACACCGTAGAAGCATCCCCCGCGGGTGATGCCCTATAAAATGCAGATCATTTGACCTCTATTAAATGGGTTTCAGACCCTCATTTTATAGTGATTGCTGTGGGGCATTACTCACGGGCATGGTTTGACATCATTTTATCATTTTATACAAGGCATGGTGTGGAAACTGTGCGATTCTGGATCGGTAATGGCGTATTCCAGAAATGCATTTTATAGACAGAGGATTGGGGGGGTCTAATTTCATGGTCTTGGCATTGTGGAAGTGGAATTTCATTTTATAGTTATGTTCTTGTTGCATGCGCACCCGTACAATGAATCAGAATATGCATTTTATATCACATTTAGTTTTGGGCACTGATTAATTATGCATGAATGAAACGGAAAAAAACCATGAAACAATGAGGTCCGACAAGTGTATGAAAGGTGGTTTTGACTGTTTTGTGTCGCACCGGCAAGCAGACACCTGATCTGGCTACCCTGCAGCAAAACATGCAGCTGCTCCGCTTTCCGTGTTTTTCCGAACTGGCTTGCAGAAACTATGCAATCACACTTAATCAGTTGGTGATCTTTTCTATGGCGCCGCAGCAATATCACCCTCTTCCGCATTGTAGCAGCCATGGCACGTGGCCTGCTGGATGCCTTCAGAAAGCCTGATTTTAACGTGGCTGCTTTTGTGCGGGATGCTGGGCAGGGCGATGCTCGCCCTGAACTAGCAAACCTTTTGGACCATTTTTGAGACGGTTTGCATCCTCGCTCACGTCGACGTTCTCGAAGATGTCCTCTTTTCTGGACTTGCGATTCGAGTGGCATCATGTGAAACAAATGCGGGGTTTGTTAAGACCTTTGGACTGCCATGAGGATACCTCCCGTTTGTCACAACAACTTCAAGATGCGGCAGTGACCTTGGAAGAGGACCTCCGACGAGAGATTGCTGCGTGCCACGAGGAGCTGCTGCTGTGTGCCGCCTGGTTCAACTGTCCCGGTATGGCCGTCAGCACGCATGAAGCCACCTAAGCAACCAAGATATGCTCCATCCGGCATCCATGAGGCCTTTATTCGAAAGGTCAATTTCACGCGGTGTATAGAATATGACTATGACTATGACATGTCACACTGCTTTCGTCCCCGCCGGCGACACCGGCTCGGTGACGCGGATAGAGCTCACCCGAGCCAGGACGCGGAATGCGGGAATGCCACACCCCACCGGCCCTCAGGATCCACAGGATCCACGTGGATCCACTATCAATTCCCTCATTCGTGACGATTTGCCAATGGAGTACTCTAAATGTCTACAGTACTAGTCCTCCTCCCGCAGTCTTGCACTGTGTGTTTGTCTGTCACACCTGGTACGTGTATAGTGGAGCCCTGCCCTCCACCTGCATGTTGATTGTGATTGCCTCTGATGGAAAACGTCATGCCTTCGCACAACTGGAGTTTCACAAGAACTGACTGACACTTTCTTGTAGATGCAAGCTTTTGAACCCTTATGTCGGAGCCCATTGGTCAATAGGTCAACCTCAGCCTTTTCCATGTTCACCTATGCCTGAGTTGTGGCGTTGTGTGGCACAAGTTGTTTCCGGGCGAATCCTATTGATGTTCGCACTTAGGCCAGTAGCATCAATGACCTCGACGGCCAATTGGGTGAAGCACATGATATCGTTGGAGCGCTGAAAACTTCAGTTGCTCGAGTTCGAGGCGAAATATTGGAGCCTTTCCAAGACATCAAGTGGAAAGTTGAGCTACTGGAACGAATGCAGGCGGTCAATGTGCTAATTCGCAGGGTGGTTCGTTTCCTTTGGGATGCCAGGAAGCTACGAAGTCAGATGGACGCTCCTGGAAAGGACTTTTCAAAGGCAGCACACACCTTGCATGAATTGGAGCTGCTATTGCAGGAAAGTGGTTTGGATTCATACCTGGATTTCAGGAACCTTTTCAATCCTTTTTTCACTTGATCATGCTTACCCCAATTTGAGCCCGTCAAACATTGGGGGCACGGATGTTTTTTAATGAGCTCTGCCGACCCACAAGCTGAATTTTGATAGGTCCGATTGTCCGATAGGATTCTTTTGACTTCCTTGGACTCTAACCTAGAAGCGATGGCCTCGAACCTACTAGCGATGGCCTCCAACCTAAAAACGTCCTCGCTTGCTTGAGGACAAGGTGGACATTTTGAGGGCTGAAGTCTTGTGGATCCGCGATGTGAGCGCGAAAGTGCGCCGCCAATCGGAGGAGGACTTGAGAACTGGAACCCGACAAGGCAACCACATTGCTTTGAGTGTTGCCCTGCAGGTCACGCTCTTAGCTGATGCTTGATGATGTTTGTAATGCAACAGGTGCAGAACTTTTTAAGACTTAACTTGCTGGCTTCTTCATTCTCAGGCACACGTTTCTTTGCTGAAGACAACGTTGAAGGGCATCCAATAGACATGAAAGGCGTTCCGTTTCTTTCTGAAATTCTTTTGAGGTGTTCTTCAACCTGCAATGTCTTTGGCCAATGCTAAAGAAGCTTCTCACGGAGCTTCTGGAAGAGGTGAGGCAAGCACCCCTTCCTGCGAGCTCCGGCTTTCACCAGGCGCTTGAAGTGAACCTGCAGGTCTTGGTTGCGCAAACGCAGCGTGTGCATGCATTAGATGAGATCGTCCAGGCAAAAGCAGATCCCGTCACTCACAAGAGCTTCCAATCAGTTCTGGAGGCTTCCAATGTTAGCTCTCTAACGAGCCATTTCTGGGCAGAGGCTGCAGGCAGGGCTGAAGTTGTAGGAAGTTGTATATATATATATATATAGGTATCTTCATGCCTGTGGACACACACACACACACATATATATATATACACACTATTGTATACTTCTAACTAGGAGATGGTTTATCTATGACTCTATGGCCACACTTTTGCTTTGAAAGCCCCAAAGCTTCATGTCTTCAAGAGCCCGACTCAAAGCATATGAATGCACCAAGCTTCACATCACCCGAGGTGTCTTCAAGGCCAAGTTTGCCAAGGTGTGCCAGGACCGAGCCTTCCGTGCTAAGGCGGTGTCCGATTGCCCCAAGGTCCTGCAGAGCTTGGTCTCAGCTGTGGAGAAACTGGGCCGCGGCAAGGTCATGAAGGCACAGGAACGTGAGACCCTCTTTCAGTCGGCTGCGGAGCTGAGGAATGAGTCTAGGCTGCGAAGTGAAGGTTCGGTGGTTGCATGGTGGAAGCAGCCTTGGTGTCAAGAGCTCTTTTCCACGGTCTTCTCCCAAGAATCGATGTCGCACAGATGAGGGACGCAGTCAGACCATTTAGCACATTTAGCCAATTTAGCTTGCTTGCTTTAGAAAGAGTTGCTCCTATGGCCCTGCTGGTCGTCCCGAGTCCAACGTCGGGTCGACCCCTCCGACCCATCTGGGAGTCGGCGTTTCTCTCCTCCGATCGCACCCGGGGGGTGCCACGGGGGCGGCATGCCGGTGCCACGGGGCGGAATTCTATATGAAACCTATAGTATAGCTCCCGTGCCAGATGAGCATAGGTAGTTCTCTTTCCTGTCCAGTTGGCATCCAAACAGGGCCGCTTCGCCGACCACTCACCTTTAACTGGCGCTATCGGGCCGAGAAGGAGCATAATTATTTGAAAAGACTTGTCAAAAAATTGTTCGGCAATGGGGCTTGCCTCTACCACGTCTTACAATTCATCACAATTCAATCAGCTTGCTTGCGTGGCCTGTCTACTCTGTTGTGCACGTTTCCTCTTTGGGTTCTATTGGGCGGCTAACTTTTTTACCTCTCATTCTCAAGTTTTTGGCCAGTCTGTAAGGAATATTTGGGAGAAGCAATCAAGAGAATCACAGAGCCAGTTGAGATTATGCTTCCAGACAAGTTGCTCTCATCTCTCAGTGCTTCTGGTGAGCGCATCACCGGCGAAGCTGCAGCAACAGATGAGCTGCCAACGATGCACGATTTGCGCCGCTACGTCCAACTCCTTGTCACAGAGTTGGAGAGGGTGGAATCCTGCCCAGAGCTGCTACTGAAGGAAATCGTTCGCAGTGTGCGGAGTTCTGTTTTGTTCTTTGCCACTCGCTTGGAGCAGGTGGTGGACTCTTCAACGGATATCCAATGCCTGCGCACTGAAGATGGTCGACTACAGCTGATCTCCCCTCCTCCTATGCCAGCTGCAGGCCATGCTCGCAATGCGCGTTTATTTGGCATTGCCCACCACACTCTGAATGCTCTCCGGGAGCTGGTACCACAACGCTTTCACCATGCGGTTCTCACTGAACAGGTACAAAGCACCTTGAAACAAACTCAGGCTGCTGTTGTGACGCCGATCTTTGGCAGCTTGCAGAAGAGCTTCACGAAGGCCGCTGTAGGCAGCTCTGCGGAGAAGAACGCAGTGTGCCAAGCAGCAAACCACTTGAGCCGTTACTATTTCTCACTTTTTGGAGCTGGACAACTGCAGAGTTACATCAAGGACTTCTGTGGCTTTGCAGTGCGATGTTTCCTCTCTGCTGCTGCCTTGGTGAAGCCATGTGGTGCCCCAGAAAGGAGTGTTTTAGTTAAGGACTTGGAGGTGCTTGAAGCGATGCTTGCTACGCTAGATGCTGACTATCAGTCACGCATCAGATATGAAGCTTCGGTATTGAATGAATTCAAGAAGTTGCTGGCTATTCCGGCAGACGGTTTAGATTTGGAGGAGCTGACCAATGTGATCCCCGGTGGCACTGGGCACATTTTTCGCTCATTGCTTCACCACATTTTTCATCATTAAATCAGGTGAAGGGGCTTCCTTTAAGAACCGGGCATCGTGCAAGGATTCCGATGCATTTGCTGCTGACCTACTTAGTGCATCAGATAGAGGCCCCGAGCCTGCCAGACTCCTTGAGGCTTAGCAGGGCAGCATACCTGGAGGCGGAAGCTTTGCCACTCTGGGAGGAGAAAGCTCAGGCGCTAGACACTTTCAAGGTCAATGTGGTGAACCTTTCAGATGCCTGGACATCACCTTCGGCTCTACAAAGTTTGCTCTTATCTTACGTATATGTACATGTATATGTATATGTATATGATGCACATGCGAATGTATTCTACAAACTCTGTGGAGATCATTTAGTTTCTGTTTTTTGTTGCTTTCCTTGGGCCAGTGGGCATTCATATCTTTTGGATTGTCAAGGACCAGTGCGATCCCAGCAAGTCTCCATTGATCGCCTTCATCCTTGCGAAGACCCGTTGATCTGCCGGGCGCGGCCGGTGGAGTCGCCGGATGCGGAGGAAAAGAGTGCGGAGGGACACGAGAGTCCCAGGGACCTGCAGAGGGTGTGCACAGTTCAATTGGTATTCAATTTGCATAGTGTGCAGTATGTGTGTGTGTGTAGCGTACAGATCGGTTTCATACGCGAGGCATGTCATCATGTGGCTTGCACAAACATGGGATGCAGTTGGATGCGATGTTTGCCATGTGCCCGTAGGACTAGGCACCTTTAGTTGCAGCATGGCCTAATCCAAAGATACCGCTCAAAGACATCAAAGGATGCTTCACGAAGATGGATGCTGAGACGCGATTGTTAAGCCCTCGAGGCTGACAGCCCACCTAAATTATACATGTAGCTTTGCATTGCTAAGCCGTCTTGCGCGGGAGGCTTTGCGCTTGAGCTCTCGCAGTTCCGTCTTCTACGAATGGTGCGCCTGGTGCGGGTGCTGCGTCTGCTGAGGGTGGTACGCTTTTGCAGTGAGCTGCGCATCATGGTCAACGGCATCGCTGGGTTGCTGGGCATCGAGCAGGGCCAAGGGCTACGGGTTGGGTCCTAGGAGTGGGTCCAAGCAGTCTAATCTTGGAGCGGGTCCTTGAGTCCTTGATTTACTGTACATCTGGTCTAAAATTACATATATAAAGGTGTTATATTAAAGGCCGTTGGAGGGGGTAGGCCGTGAGGAGGCCTCAGTAGTTGGTAGTAGAAATCGTTCTTTTTGCTATCCCACTGCAGTTGTTGCCCACTGTCAGGGGCAGCCCAGCGAAGATAAGCACCCACAGCGTACAGCCTACAAAGCTTGAGTAGCCTGCTTTGGAAATTCCAGGCTTCCAGATCTTCCAGAATGCGCAGGGATTTACACACAACATCACACAACAAAACGCCGCTCTTTGGTATGAAGGCCCTCATCATACCTCATCATGCAGCAATCATCCCATTGTTTGCGCATGAGTTTCCTGAAAGGTTGAGTTAAATCCTTTGCTACTAGTAACAAAGGGCATCGCTACTACGCTACTACTAGCTCCTGACATTGCTACTAGGAACAAATCACTATATACTAGTAAGATTTGCGCACCGCCTTCGATCGTGCTGTCGACGATGTTACGCCGCCCACCCGTCGCACCGTGGCACTTGTTTCAGGTCAATGAAGACTTTGTTCTGGGCAATGCTATTGCTGGGAATTCTAATGTTCATATTTGGAGTGACATTCATGCAACTGGCCTACAACCACCTGCGAAACACTGGCATAGACATAGAATCAAGTGGTCTCGTGACTTACTATGGCACCATAGGAAGATGCTTGTCTGAACTGGATTTCTATTTCAGTAGTCTTTGAGATGCACACATGTCTATTTACTTTTGCGAGATTTCCAGTGCGGTGACGTTACATGCGGGAAAGCAATGGTATCCATGCTTTTCAATGTGGATTCAGGAAAGCAGTGTTCAATGCACTAGCACATCTGAAGCTTTAGATTTCACACCCAGACTGAGGAAGCATGCTGACCTTGTTCATGGCAATCTCAGGAGGCAACCCCGTATTTGATTTCCTCAAAGTTTTGTTAAGTGTTTCTGATGCTTGAAATGCCAGCGGCCAGAGCTGCTTCCCAACTCTGCCTGGCACCAGTGCATGTTTTCAATGCCTGTCGATAAGAACCCTTTTCCCTGACACGTGTAAAAACAGAGTCTGTTAGGAGTTGATTGGAGAGATGCCGTCGCTCCCCTGAGTGCAATGAGCTGGATCATCGACTACTTCATGGGAATCTATGTGACTTGGTGCAAGTGAATGGTGCTTGGACTAGGGCTAACCGGCCAAAAACTTATATGTCAACTCCAGGCGAACACCTACACACACTCTCACGCACCTCTGAATCTGGATGGCTTCTCAAGACCAATGCGCCAAGATGAGCAACCGGCCATAGGATCATAGGATGAGAGATTGGGAAACTCACGGGTTTAAAGGGCTGAACAAAGTCGAAGTCAGGCAAATGGATCAAAATCATATGGGCGGTTATTTTGGGTGGGGCCCAAGGTGGTAGTTAACATCGTATATACAGTAGTTGTACCAAATAAGTACTGGTTCTACTTAACCAATCACAACATCTCACAAACGTCACACCTTTACAAACATTGCTACCAAGTTGGACTCAGATTTTTCTTGAGCAATTTTGAGTCATGAGGTTGAGGGCCCAGCCAGTTGAGCTTAAGGACTCAAAGATTGACCTCCCCTTCCCTCTCACCTTCCTCAGTCATTACCTCTCAGGGCCTTTGGATACCTGGGATGTTCTGACCATGTTGATGTTGCGAAAGTTTTCAGTCTTTCTCTTGCTGCTATTGCCAAACCATTTCTCGCTGTTTTTGTGTGCACGGGAGCTCCAGAATCTGAGTGACACGACAACCTCCTGAATGCCACTGTTTTCCGTGCTCGGTTTATCAGCAAACAAGCAGTGACTTGCTGTCTGTGTGTTTTGCTGTACTCAGGTGTTCTTCACTGTCTTTTGCTTTATCAATGTCGTGACAGGCCCGCAAAATAAACGCAAATTATACAGACTACAGCCTCTTCTTCTGGGTGCGCAGATGTGTTTGGTCGACTCCAAGAAAATAATGGGCGTGTGGTTGACTCAGAATCACTGTGTTTGGTTGACTCTCAGCCGAACACCTGCCGCCAAGTGGAGGTATTTTTGTGGACAATGCCAAGGCGACGACCACAGATGCCACAGTCGCAAGAAAGCACCGTCCAGTCCCGTGAATTGTCATCGACGGAAAGCTACTAGGTAGAGGCCATCGCTATCAGGTTGGAGGCCATTGCTACTAGGAGCAAGGACGCCACTAGTACCTAGAAGCTACTTGGTGGAGGCCATGGCCATTAGGTTGGAGGCCATCGCTATTAGGAGCAAGGATGCTACTAGTAGCTCCACAGTGCCATACTCTTGACACTTGGTTACTCGGTGCTGAAGAGCTGATGTGCTTGCTTCAGGAGCTTGGCGAGCAGGAGACGCTGCATCAGCGTGCCGGGCAGTACCTTGGTTTGCAGTGCCACCCTCACTTTGTCCACTTGGTCCCCCCAGGACCCAAGTTCACCCAAGACATAAGCTCAACTTGTCATTTTAAAGCATGTACTCATAAGGACGTCAACGCAGTTGGATCGCAAGAGATCTCGAGTGAAGACCGCTGTAGGTATCTTCGCCGCCAGCGCTGGGTGAAAGAGGTCGTCAACCTTTTTGCAAAGATGGATGTGAGTGGCTTGAACTTTTACAGTAGTTTCAGAGTAGATGGCACAGACCCCATGATGTCCTTTAGATGGGGGTCCATACAAGCCACCTCTTGGGGTCTGTGCCATCTACTCTCAATCCACTATAAGACTTCTCGATTTTCATCGCATGGACAGGTCTTGAATCGTTTTTCTTTGGTGGCTCAGGTAGTGAGGGCGACTTGTCCTATGAGGAGTTCATGGCAGAGATCAAGGCGAGAGTTCAGCGTTGACATCCTCTCATGTGGAAAGATTGAAAAGGGTGTGTTTGCAATCGCTCGCTCCTTGCAAGGATGAAAGGGTGCAGGACTGCTTCCGTCACTTGGGTATCAACGTGGAGCAACTTGGTTTGTTCAGAGGTTGTGGCTGGGTGGAAGGACCGAGTGTGTGACAAATTTCTTTAAAGGACAACTAGGTTGAAGGCTGAAGACTTAAGAAACATCATCCACATGGTAATGGGACAGGCCTAAGACTAAGACTTATATAGTTATATTTTTAGTTTAATCACATAACTTTAAGACTTCATCATTTAAGACAACTCGCTATATAGGGTGGCTCTGACTATGGCGGCTTTTTGATCTCAAAGCTCAAGGAAGCCGAAAGATGCATTGAGCATGTGCTTCTCATTGACGAGACCGATGAGTGGGTAGAGACCAACCCGGGGCCGCGAACTGAGGAACCATACGGCCGACGAGCTCTTTGAGCTCTTTGACTTCGACGATGACGGCAAGATCGATCCTTTCTCCTTTGATGCTCGCCGTTATGAAGATTTGTCGGGATGGGATGCTTCTTTCTTTTGGTGCAAGTGTGAACCCGCCTGATGAGACGTAGAGGATAAAATCAGAACTGATGCTCAACAAACTGAAGAAAAACCCAGCCAGAGTCAGAGAAGAGAGAGAGAGGGAGAGGCTGATAGAGAGAGTGCACATTCCTTCTCGCTCCAGAACTGCTGTTACTGCTGCGGGGCCTAGGAGCAAGCCATCCGTCAATTTCACGGCACTGCCAGAAGCATTGATGTCTACAAGATCCGAAGGGATACGCAGAAGTGCCCTGGTCGAGCCCGGCTTGTTGCATCAGGGATGAAGCCGCGCAAGTTGTGAAACATGACCATGTGTGCACTATCCGTACGCCCTCTACGCCCTCATTGGCTGTACATTCTATTTTTGAAAATTTGCAGTGGTCATGGCAAGCCGAGACATTGCAAAACAACATAAAACAACAACAGGTTGGCACATAGTCTCATGGTGAGTCTAAGTGAAGAGGAACAGAGGATTGGGTTGCTTACCAGCTTCTCGGCATGGGCGGTAGGGCGGGCTTGGCTCCTCATGGGACAAGCCTAGATTTATCAGTGTAATAAGGATCGGCAAGCAGCTGCATTATTTGGCCTGCGCATCTTGACAGCAATGCCAAATGCTGGAGCACGCCTGGTATTGCTTGCCAGCCAGACAAAATTCCATTTTGTGCTCTTGGATTTGCTGGCCAGTATAGTTACTTGTGCTATCTTGTGCTTTTGTGATCACAAGATATCACACGCATGTTGACCACTGTGTGTCAACCCCAGTTTCCGGTATCTCCACACCTTCCAGCCGGCGCGACCGTCCGAGGCCTTAGGATGTGATGCACACCGTGAGCTCCTGGAGTAGGCACCGCGGATCCCAGAGACGGACCCTGAGCTCTGAAGGGGACGAGGTGACGAGGTGAGCCTGAGCTCCGATCCAGTTGAGGTGACGAGGTGAAGAGGCAACGGCAGGTGTGTTTCTTGTGGAGCGGAGACGGCACCTTTGGATTCAGCGGGAGAAAAGCAGCAGCGATTGCTGTAGTTTTTATCGTTTTGGAAGAAGTGCAGCGCGAATGGCGCGCCGTCTCACATGAAAGAGGATTGCTTCTTTGAGCTTCATCCGCTGAATCGGTGAAAGCTTCATCGAAACAGCTCATCGCAAGTCATGCGTGTCAAAAGCTGTGCTGAAAGAGTTGGGTTTCTGGACACACCATGCACTCGGATTGATGTGTGTATTCAGTTTGGATATGGAATGTGCAGCAGGTGCGCATGCACAGGCACATACAGACACCCATTCATAGACACCAGATTGGTTTGTACACGTCGACGTAGCCGACGAAAACAGAAGCACACTTAGCGAACGACTATTGGTGCGAACGGGGCTGTGTAGGTGCTACCCTGGTTGAATATCACAGACCCAGATTTCCACACCACGTTGGGCCTAAGTTATTCCATGTTATTCTAATTTGAGGTTCGTTAGTTCTCCCAAAAACCATGAGGCTCGAGCTATCTCGTGCTTGTTGCTTTGATTCCAAAACGATGGAGATTGTGCGAAATGGCCTTGGTGACCAGATGACTCAATATTCATGGTTCTTCCATGCTTTCAGGATGAGCACCGATTTTCAATCCAAACATTGTCCACCTCGCAGGTTGGAACGCCACCTGAAACTCATGTCGTGGAGCTGGCTTGACCCTTGCGCCGCTTGCTATCACAATATGCCAGGCATACCAGTATGCCCAATCCTGGTATCCCATGTTCGCACGACCCTCATTGGGCGTAGTCATCGGAACACAAGACGCTCCCCTGCAGTTATGCATAAGTCGAAAGCAATCAAAAACACATATGTCACTAGTGGGTTACACACACTCCTTTTCCCAAGCAATGATCAAGTGTCACAAGCCAGGCTGCATGATGCGGCTGGCACTTACAACAAACCCCTACGCATCCATTTGGGGATGGCTGATTTCATGCAGAGTGGGTGGGTGGGGTTTTGCTGCTGCCACACCGCACAGCAATCACTAGGTAGCAGCGTGCCAGTGCGCTATGGCAAGTAATTATGGTGTTAGAGAGTGGTGCACTGCGCCATTTACCCCCCAGTGCATGGACCCCTTGTGCACCAACACAACCTGCTCTTGGAGGACTGTGGGATTCTTCAAAGCTTAAGACAGTTTTTCTGGATGAGACCTGGTTGTTTCACGAGTGGGTTGGAGGGCAGAACAGGTGGATGCATCACTCTAGGGAACGATGTGTGTCAACATCTGGATGAAATTGCAACTAAGGGATCGGGACACCTTTTTTCTTTTTTGGGTAGAGCCAATCATCGTGACATTTGCCCAGCTGTAGCTTTGGACCATGTTCACCTAGTGTCGCCACTTGGCTGCTTGGCCGAAATCCATGCGCACAATCTCTTTGTGTGAAAAAACATGTGAAAAGCAGTGCAGTTTGGTCCCGTAGTAGTGCACTTTGTTGCTATCCGAGCCATGTGTGGATTTGATTGGATTTGCGGATGGATGGAGGGAAAAGACAGAAGAGTGGGTGGGCTCGTGTGGTTCTGCTGACATTTGAGGTCAGATCAGATGCTCAAGCACATTGCAGGCATGTGGGAGGGCTGATATAATCCACTCTTCACAAGAGTCTCCACACATCGAAAAGGAGCCTTCAGAGTCTTGAACTTCCACAGAGTCTTGAGCCTCCAGAGGCGGGCCATCGTGAATCTCCAGTCGACGCCTGGCGACGCCTTGCGTCGTGCCCGAGCCCGTTCGAAGCTCCGCTGGAGGAGTCCGGAGGCTTTGCGAAAAGCCGACCCAAAACAGACTCGCGCCCGCAAGCAGTCGAACGGGCGCTTGGTCTTTCGGTCGAGAGGAGCAAGGAGCGCAAGGAGCAAGGAGTGGTGAGTGGTGCAAGGAATAGATTATGGCATCATTTGTGGCTCTAGCTATCTCACAGCATAGTCAGAATGGACATTGTATATAATACAAGGAGCACAAGATGAATCTAGAACATTCTAGAACAAGGCTTCCAAGCAAGCTGCAACTTCAGATTCAATGATTGGATTGCATACCGTATGCCAACAAGTGGTCAGAATGTGTGGCGTCATTCTTGCGCATTACATTGACCTCAATGTATCAAACTCCGTCCGTGGTTTCCTATTTGGATGCATGAGGAAACATGCTGAGGTTGAGGGCTTAGCCGCTAAAGCCATGTTCAGCCAAAAATTATCAAGAATGTTTCTAGATGGTACTTGTGGCATTGGTCAAATTTGCATGACATGAGGTCTGCTTTGATTGCCACTGCACGGCTGATGCCGGCTGGAGCCAAAGTGAAAGTCACGAGGTGATCATTCAAGGCCTCAACGCAGGATTAACACGACGCCATATACTAGGGGCTCCTGACTCCTGGCATCGCTACTAGGAGCGAGGACGCTACTAGGGACTCCTGGCCGTACTACTAGAGCAATGTTCGCCACTAGCAACAAGAAGCTGTTTCGGAAAGGTCGACCATGACCCGATGACTCCAGCCATGCACCGATCCACATCCGATTTGCGGAGCCTGAGGTATGGAGCAAACTGGTGCCGGTGATGCCCGATGGAGCTCTTTTCCCGGACTTCGACTGCGTGCATGTGGCCAGAAAGCCCAGTTTCGGGCGCCAAAACATTTGGGACTCATTTGGGCGCCTCTGCTTTCAAGAGGAGCGCCTCATGCCAGGCACCAAGCAAGATGAGATAACTAGGATAGACCATTATAAACCATGTTGATCATAGACGGACATATAGCATGCTTTCTAGATATAGCATCCACCACATTTCACAAACGACTGACACACCTTTTAACTACGAAGAGAGCGCTGGACACGTTCTTAGGTTCATAAACATGGTTAGTGGCAAAGCGGGTTGCTCGAGATGTTTCTTTCTGTGAGGTATCACGTCACATTCACCAAGAGTCTCATTCCAAGCAGGTCAGCGAAGAAGCAAATGCATCGACAGAGCTGGACCGGAGGTGACCCCTCAATCGACTGGGTATAGTCTAGTTAATATTATATGTAACATACATATATATATATATATACACATATATGATATATATATATACATATTGTTGTTTTTTTTTTACCCCTACTGGTGGCTGTATTGCCGGGTCCTTTGTTTTGAGATCTCTGATGTGTTTGGCGCTGCTCGCAGGGTGTCATTGATGGCATCGACTGGTCCGATTGGATCCTTGGCTGCGAGCCATGGAGCCATTGGTTTTCTGAGGGGCTTATGGTTCTTGCTTTGGGGGGGCGCTTGCATGGTGGGAGAAGCCTTGGATCTCATTCAAATTCCATATGAGGATTTGACAAACATCTATGGTGCTTGTTGGCCCCCTGGTTCCTTCAGCCTATAAATGGGAGGGCCGACCATGACCATCCCCAACAGCTTCCTCCTATCATTGTTTCATGTCAGATTCCACAACCGTTTGATTCCACTTTATCAAGTTGAGATTCTGGACCGAAGTTTGTAACCTCCTCGTGACTTCCGAGAAGCTGCCAGGTTGTCCATCTTTGAGAAGGCACACAGACTGCAAGTACCGCTGTGCCATCATGATCCCTCAGTCTAGTTGCTGTCGTTTGTTTTGTAAAGAGTGGCATTGCAAGCCATGTGAATTGAAGGTTCTATTTGCTGTATGTTCAGCATGTTGACTTTGACCTGCTTGGCTCTCTTCTTGTGACTTTCACGACCAACGGGTCCACAGATTCCACACAGTGACAGGTCCACACACTCAACTGCAATTGCCACGACCTCAGGCGCCCAAGTCCTGGGCGGCCGAAGGCTCCAGGCGCGTCGGGCGTCACCGTGGAGCATGCTACAATTCTTATTGTTACTAGTAACAAGTGCCACGCTAGTAGTAACAGGTGCCTTACTAGTAGTAACAAAAAAGCTATTAGAATTAAACTAAAATTACTACTAGCTTCTTGTTACTAGTAGTAAGGCACTTGTTTCTACTAGCTTCTTGTCACTACTAGTAAGGCACTTGTTACTAGTAGCGTGGCACTTGTTCCTACGTTGAGGACATGTTTTCTTTTTTTGTTGCGCTCGCCATGGCAAGCAACATGAAGCAAAGCCATGTTTCAGCCACTGATCAACTTCCTTGAAACCAATTTGAAAGCAATATAATATATATATATATATACACAAAAACTTTGTATCTATATATATATATGTCTACATCAATAATGCATATGTGGATTTTTTCAGTCATGTGTCTAAAACAATCATTGAGGCCAATAGGCACTCACAAGCTGCAAGCAGCAAGAATACATGCTACTGGAAACCACATTTGTCAACCGGGCCTATGATTAGCTTTGTCACTGTTCTTTAGGCAATGTTTGGCTCGTGACCCTATGAGCATCACTGAACTAACTGTTTTGAACTGACCCGAGTGAAAGGTACTTTGATGCATTCATGGACGCAGATGCAGAGTCATACCAGCGTGCGGATGCCTTCTTCGTTGTCTGGCGGCGAAAGGGAAGGCAGTGAGTTGGCCAGAGAGCATGTTTGGCATTTAGCACTTGGCGTGCTTCAGGGTTTACTGTACTCTTACTGTATATCCAAAATCTGATCCCCATGACAACTCACCTTCATCACAATTGATATATTCAACCACGCAGCTGCTTTTGACCTCAAGAGATTTGCCAATTTCCCTTCTTTTGCCAATCATGGACGTTGTGCTTCGGCATGGTCCTGATCGCCAGGCTTGGTTTTTGAACTTGACTCAGGCACTGAGGACGACAAACGGGCTCTTCAGTGGCAAAGGTGGTAGTGACAGCAGAACACCTGTGTGCGTGGCCTTCATGACGCTTTCTGACGGAACCAGAGTGAATTGAGTCAAGATTCGGACGTCATTGCTCGCTTGAGGACCCCAAGATCTCGAAGGAGATCTCGGCATTGTGCTTGGAGATTCCCAGATTCACAAGAACATGCACAGACTTCAAGGTCTTGCGCAGAGAAGCTGCCCCGCATCAAGCGCAGAAGCTGGGTTTGAAATCTCAGAAGTTCTTTTGTCGATTCAGTGCTTTTTTTGTTGACCTGCAAGACGAAGACCAAGAAGAGAACGAGTATTGACAGTATTGATGTTCTTCTTAAAGATCTGCACGTGACAGTAGCAAGAACAGTAGTGGTGGGGGCAGCAGTAGCAACACCAGGAGTAACAGTAGGGGGGAGGAGTAGCAGTAGGAGTAGAAGTCGTATTGTACAGCACGAGTAGTAGCAGGACTGGTCGGAGTTGTCGTCCTCGTGGTGGTGGTGCCTGCCAGTGCTAGTGCTAGTGCCAGCGCTAGCGCTAGTGCTAGTGCTAGCAGTAGGGGTAATTGGTAGGAGTAGCACTAGGACTACTGATCAGGATTAATAGCAGTCGTTGTTTTGGTGGCAGTCGTTCAGATTTCTCCCCTCCCCGGGAAGCACGTGCCAGAAGCATGCCACCTAGGGCCCGACCAACTGGCGGCGTCATGCAGCCCATCCAAGCTGGGGAGCAAGCCACGCTCGAGCAGTAAGAAGCTGTGGTGCGGAGACACCACTAAAATGCGGGGCCTTGCAATGGAAGGCTTGGTGATTCAAGCACCTATTCAAGAGGCTCTACAAGAGTTTGCGTCCAGCATGTGGGCCCCACAGCCATTGTTGTTTGTTTGTGAGAGTTCAGGGAGAACTCCTGAGCCAAGGAGATGCCAAGCCTTCGTAGCTGAGCCTTCGTAGCTTCCGGGTGCGGTAAGGGGGAAGTGGCCAAGGATGCCGAACGCATCCTAGTTCACAGCGTATCCAGAAGACTGATCTTGGATGATCTTGGCAAATGCCAGTCATTTCCAGAGTTCAAGAGGTCAAGGAGAACAGCCTCCGACTGAACTCACGAGTCTGTCTGCCGTGGGGCTGCTCTCCTGATCTACTGTAGCAGCACTGTGGGCATGGTTGATCCCTGTGGGTGAAAAACAAGCGTTGTGTTCTACGATCCTAAGGACTCCTGGAACTTGCAAGACAACAGTGCTGCACATTCCAACATGTGGCGTGCAAGTGCAGCTTGTGGTGCATCATTTCTTAAATTTTAAAGGAGAGTTTGGACGTGTGTTTGGCTGATCACTCAGAAATGACTCATGTGAAACGTGGGAAACCGATGGAAGCCGCTTCACTCTGCCAAATGGAGCACTGAATCAAATGATCTCATGGATTCTCAATGCATTTTATCAGACCATTTTTCATTCAGATCATCAATGACCATGCGAGGAATCCGATGCGTCCTCACATGGCGATGATGGTACGTTCAGCCAAGCCACCAAATCCGGTCCAACACTTCCCGATGTGAGCACACCAAAAATGGCCGCGGGGTGTATTCTGCTGCGATTCCACGCCTTCAGTAGAAGCACGCTGTTGGCTTGAAACCAGTTGTGAATGTCCTCCCAGGTTGGAATGAAGCTTGCCCGCACAGAGCTGAGATGTTGGACCCCGTCTCTGACGGTCCACCGATGTGACGACAGGGTCTAGAATCGATGCGACTCCTTGCTGAGTCTCCTTGCTCAGTCTCTCTTTAGATGCTGAGCCATGACTGCCGCAGTATTTTTCTCCCAAGTTGACCAGCTTGGCCATGGCATGTCGTTTAGCATGGCTGGTGGCGAGCTTGCTTGCGTCATGCCTCATCAATCCTACCTCATCAAAGAACCACACTGAAGAAGCTTGCCGGAAGTTCCAACATGTTGAAACCGGCCAACGAGCACGGCAGGACGCCACGGCCGCTGCCGTAAAAATCCACCCACGGATGGTTTGGGCATGTCGGGGGTGGCTGGGATGGGACTGGGCAAGGGGCCCAGGGGCGGAGAAATGAGTCGAACTGAGGGTCGAAGATCTCCATCTGGCATCCGATTTGCTCAGGATGTGGCCGCCTTTCGGAGCAACGGTTGGTTTCTGTCCAGGCAACTGTTGCCACATGAGGAAGTCACAGCTGTGGCAGCAGCTCAGCTGTTGGCAATTTTTTGCGTGGTTTTTGTGCTCCTTCTTTAGGGCGAAGTGCGTGAATGAGAGAGGTAAGACAAATATATAAGGCTATGCAACATGCCGGCATCAATGATGTCAGTTCTGTAGTTCTTGGCTGCCTTTTTCTTGTTCTCAGCTGTTCTGCCCAGGCAAAGCTGGAGAGTTTGCTCTCGGAGCACGGGCGACGTGCTTTTGGAGACGAGGGCGAGAAGGTGAGACATGCGAGACAGGGGAGCTCTCAATGAGTACAGTATACTGTATGCTGTAGTTTGTCCCTATTGGGTTCATAGGGGCTCATGGAAATATAATGACACACGCGTGACACTCAGTCAGCCTGTCAAACCGGTCAGCCTCGCCGCAGCCTGTCGCTCAAGACCCCGATCTTGAATGCAGCCACACTAGAGCGAACACGTGCGTCGCTCTTGTGTGATGAACTTCTTCGTAGTTTCTTTGGTTCTAGCCACGGCTGTGGGTGCAGCTGTGCATCCCCAGAAGGCAAGCCTTGTGACTGAGAATGCGCCCTCTGAGAGCCTGGCCCTCATCCCGAAAGCCATCAGCGAATCAGACTGGATTGCACCAACCGTGGGCAGCATCCTTGTTGTGGTCGGAGCCTTGCTTCTATATTCCTACCTCAACAGGGAGAAGGAGCCAACAAGCGATGTTGAGTCAGGGACGGAGGGGACGAAACAGGCAGATGCTCTTACCAGTGAAGCCTTGACATCTCAAGCAGAAGAAATGATAGAGAAAGCCAAAGAGAAGTTCGGGTCAAAACTCAGCGCAGATGGTGATGTTGTTCAAATTCTTCAAGCCAAAGCACAGGGCTTTGGAGATAGGCTGAGGGCGCTTGTGATGAACGAGCTCAACAGTGCGGCCAGCTCTGTCGGCAAGGCTCTTGAGGCTGACGATTGTGCAGCCATCCTGGACTGGGACTCCAACATCTCTGCGAACCTTCCGCTCCTTGGGATGCAAATGTCACACGTTGGATGTTTCATGAGCTCTGTGGGATTTCCTACCCCCCCGGAAACTCACATGGAACCTGAGAATTGACCCGTGGAAGGCCAGTGGTTTTAGGGTTCCATGTTGCAGGGAGTATATAACGGCGGGTATCATGCTAGACTAGTGGCGGTGGGAATCCACATTCACCCACGAGGTCCCTCTCAGTGCTGTTGGCGGGCTTGCTGGTGCCAGTGAACCTGAGCATTAACTATGCCTGCCACGTGTCTCAAGTGTTCCTGGTCTTGTTGCCCATTGGATGTGTGACGGCTGCTGCCGAGTATTTTGATCGCGACCACCCATGCACCTCAATTCCGGGCCTTCGACTATGGTCGCGAATCACAGGTTGCGCCGTGGTGGTCGTCATGTGCTGCCGCTTGATGATGATGAAACGTATTGCATCAGCACAGAGAGACCTTCGCTCAAAGTCAGAGGCAGTGTGTTCCAAGTTGGCCCACTTGGAGAAGCTCGACCTTGAATGCGACAACCCTCCGTTCAGGATAGAGTGAGGCCCCCAAATCTAACCTTCCCTTGCTAGCTTTGCAGAGGGTGCATACTTTAACCCGGCGGGAGTTGTCATTGTCTGCCTGGAAAGTGTGATCGATCCTCGGGATTGCCCTCGTGCCTCGTGCCCAGGAAAGATCCTCGAGATCTGAGCATCACAGATCTCCGGGAACTCTTTGCAGCGCACGCCTCCACGCTTCAGCAAGCAGTCGTGTGTGAGAGCTATTGCACCTCCCCAGTGATTTCTCACATCATTGGCCTTGGCAACTGGGAAGAATATTCCTGAAAAATACACACATCTTGTTTTTTTTTTTTATTTGTTTTTTGTTTTATGTTTATTTTTTAAATCCGAAGCATGTATACATATGTATACATCTGTATATATATATATACAGTTAAATGGATATATATATATATAAATATAACCAATATACACACTTTATGTAATACATGTATTTACAACTATGCAGACAAGTTGCCTGTTAAATGCATGCATACGCGCAACCTGCCGTTTTTTTCACTGCATGGTGTGCTGAGAAGCATCACAAACCTTAAGGCACCTTCATTTGGCTGCTGACCACTTTCTACAACACCTACCTCTACTTTGCATACATGTTTGTGCCTGGCGTTGTGGCCTTTCACCCAGCCGCTGCTGAAGACCCCAGCTACTGTGCTGCTTGGGTGACCGTGTGCGCCTCCAAAGTGGCGTTGCTCGTGGCGGTCTTGTTCTTCTTCATGAACTTGGCCACTCAGACCTGCAAAAAGCCTCCCTTTTTTCCGACCACTGGAGGGTTCAGTTGATTGCTAGCATTGAATGCCATGGAAGATTGTTGAATTGTTGAGTCCTTCACCCCATTTGTTGGTCGTGCCCATTGCCTCACCGGCACAAACTCGTTCAGGCAGGGCACGAGGAAGCGAACGGATTGCACAACCACTCAGGTCACAGTGGCTTTATGGATCTTCCAGGCAGTCCTCAACTCAAGTGCAATGAGCTGCTAGCCTGTTACCATGTGCGACAAAAAGACACTATGGAAGATATGAGGGTATGGCGGAGTATGGCACAGTGTTAGAGTGCATGATGATGTATTTTTGATCGCTGGCTTTGTCTCCCTTTGTTCATCTCTCCCTTTGTGGTTATGTAGTCACTCAAGCCCCTCTAAGTATTCCACCTTGCCCGCAAGGCCAAGGCTGTCGGAGGAAGCAAAGCCTAAATGTCCGTCAAAGGTACTAAAAGGAATTGTGTCAGCTCCTTCTCTTCATTTCTCTTCTCGCCCAACCGTTGACGGTCATTTGGCGCAACTTCCCGAGGCTCCAAGATCTCCATGCAAGCGCGCCTCCTGGACAGCGCCAACTTTGGGATTCCGGCCGGGCAGTTGCTGGTGAAGGCACCGGCACCTGACTGAATTGGCCACAGCCCAGTGGAGATATAGCCCGAAATGGTGAAGAAGATTGACTGTTTCTTCCTGTGCGGGAGCGAGTCTTTATATAGGAGATTTGAAGGCCATCATATGGGAGACCAATTGAAACCGTAGCATGATTGTGTATAGACATCTGCCACCCAGAAGATTTGCTCAGCCCGCCCCCAACTGTGAGGCCTTCCTCTTCCGAGCTGAAAGCGATGTCCTCACGGCCAAGTTTGCAGTATCGATGCGAGACCGCTCCGAGCCCGAGATGCAAATGCACTTGAAGCATTTCCAGAGGCAAACGCAACAACATGTTAGCCATAGCGCGGCAAGTTTTTGCAGTTCCCACAAGAGGGTGCAGAATGCAGAATCTCAAAACGTCAACAAATCTGAGGGGTCAATGCCGACTGGTGGACAAATGCTTTGTTGGTCCATTTGTTTTCTTCGATTTGCTCAGCCAGCCCTGGTTATGGGAGACGTTCAAACTGAGGAGCTGGCTCAGATGTATGCAGACACGGAGGCTCGTCTCAATGCCTTAAAAGAGAAGGTCAGCTCCAAGGAAGGCAATGTGGAGAAGATGCAGCAAGAGATCGATGCTTTGGGTGGTGGAAGCGCGCCCGCCTAGATTTGACGAAGTGTCCAACAAATAACAAATAAGGTACTTAAATACTTGATGTCAGCAACAAAGGGCAGTAGCATTTCCATTCGCAATCCCACCGCACGGTCTTATGAGGCTTGGAGGCATCAGCACAGCGCATGTCCGAGAAGGGCTTGGACTTTGAGAATCTCCGTGGGAAAGGCTTGGCAATGGTGGAGGCTGCGCATCAGCAAGCAGCCAATGTGGAGGTGGCAGCTACGGATGAGATTGAGAAGCTCTCCGACGCTTAACTTGGCATTGGGGCATTGGGGCTACTGCACAGGATTACCTAGGCCGTTAGGAGAGCCTTTTGGCGAGATGTTGTCCCGTGCAAAATGCTGATGCAGCCATTGCAGTGGCCAGACACAAGTTGTGCAGTTTGACTTGTAGCTGCAACCATATGCAATGCAACAATGTAATCATTATTTGCGACCCTTTCCCCGTGGAACCCCCTCTACAGTACTGTACATGCTGGGACCTTCGAAGGTGCGGCACGGTCAATGTTAATTTAACAATAACAGGCGTGTGATAATTGACTAATTTACCTGCCACACAGATTGGACCTGTTATATGATCGATCCACAGCTGGCACGACAGTTGTTTTTGACTCAAAGTGAAGAATTTGATTGAATGTATTCCCCTCAGCTCAGGAGCGTGTGCAAGAGATCATCAAGCAAGTCACAGAGAGCGAATCCTTCAAGGCTAGCATTCTGCACACTCCTTCCTAGTCGAAATGTATTGACATCACATTAATCATTTGGTAATGGACTGATGTTTGTGCAAAACCTGAATTGGCCAATGGTGCTTTGTGAAAAAACTCGCAAATCTGGCCAATTCAGGTTTTTTTTTGACGTCGGACCTACCAGACTTCCCCACAGGCTGCCCAGGCCCAGGCTGCTGATGCCGTGGACCAGG